TTTGAGGTAAACAAAATTAATGGTAACAAAAATTAAATTGAAACTTAAAATAATTTCAGACATTTTACTAAAATTGTTACAAGAAAAAGTATCTTCCTAATAATCTTACGAGATTTATAATATTGATATTAATCATCAGTGCTTGTTCATTAAAAATCTATTTTGTATCGGTTTATTTCAATATTTGTCTCTCGGATAGATTCTTACTTTATCAGATAATTTATGATGAACGATTAATTTGTCGAATGCTCTATCTCCCATACTCTTTCATTTTTAGCTCTGGAAAAATTAATTCAAACAAGCAAATTTTTATATATTATATAAAATTACCATACTGTATGTTGTAAATTTAACAATAATAAATTTTAACACGGAAATAGTCGAAATATGGCGTACCAATCACCGTTACTCGTTAGCGGATTGAACAAAGTCGCATAATGTTTAAGCATCAATGTCAACACCGTCTTAAAAAAAAAAAAATTTAGTTTCAATTTTAAAGGAATAAAGGTAGTTTAAGCTTAATTTGTATAATTATTTGACTTCATTATGTTCATTTGTATAATTGTAAATATTGAATTGCATATCCTGTTTGAAATTATTATCTAATTAAATTTCAGAACTAACAACTAGCGGTTTAGTATCAACTGTTACAAATTTAAAGATAGTTTTGATTAGGAAATCATTATTTTAAATCGGAAATGATGCAGAAATATGATTCACTCGGCACATTCAAGTATTTTTCATGAATTTGAAATATGATAAAATTAGTAGTGTTGTATAACTTTTAAATTTTTCAATTCAACCTGATCATCATCAATTCTTCCAGAATCTAATAAGTCCATAAATGATTTTTGATAAAATCGATAAAAACGATTAATTGTATAACTATCACCAGCAATAAAGCCACCGCTTAATACAACCCAATCAACACGGTATAGATCAGTTATTGAATACCTAAAGATTAATTAATCAAAAAAAAAAAGCCTAGTCAATTAATTAATTGAAATGGAATTTTCTTATTGCTCAACAAAAAAAAAAAACCTGGACACTTTATCATGTGCCGGTGTCAGTTTAATAATTGTCATGCGATCACGTCGAAGATTCGGTCGCCAGTGACAATGATTTGGAATGATTCCCTCTCGACCATGACCTAAATAACGCTTGAGATAATTTTTGCATTAAAATTTCAATTATTCGCTTAAATGAAAATGAATTCAATTATCGACCGTATCCGGCATCAATCCAAGCAAACATCCGATCTGACGCTCGAAATCGAGCGCTTTGCGTTGCATTATATAAAAAATAGGGTTTCGAATTAACAATTATATTGTAATCGGCGCTATTTGCTTCCGGATGATAGCGTGTTTTTGGACCAAATTGCCAATCTGAAAATTACCTTTTTGCATTTCTAATTTTTTTGAAAATGTTTAAAATTTATTGAAAATAAACTGATATGTTGATTTTATCCTTCTCTCTCTCTCTCTCTCTCTCTCTCTCTCTCTC